TAGTTAACGAGCCCCTAGCTCTCATAAACTGCTCCTCGTAAAGCCAGTCTGGCAGCGCCATTACCCACCAGATGTTATCACAACATAAAACGCCGAAATTAAAACCTATAAAATATCGAGCGACGACATGATTTATATCCTATGTTAATGTATTATTGTAACCATAGATATTAGAAAGCAAAATTGGCTACAAGTGGCGACATTTTACTTAAACTATGTGAACGTGGTTATTGTAATTTTTAATCTGTGGAATTATTAATTAAAATTTAGTTTGTTACCCTTCATTTATTATAGTATATATATATTATAATAAAATGCACGATTGGAATTTAATTCATTGAATTTGGTTTAGAGCTTACAATGTTACAGGGCTACAGAAATACACAAGTAAGTAAACTATCAGGGGAACAAAACAAATTTTATTTCTAATTCGATTCTTATATATACTGCGATTAAAAAAGAACAGAATACGTACAGAAATAAAACATATTTAAATGTTTAACACAACGTTGCGGATGTTTGCAGCAATCGTGGTCGCAGTCATTGTAAAAAACATATTATTATATAAACCGGTAATTCTGTTTTATATATAAGATTGGTTGTTAAAAATCGAAAATATTTTTTTATATTGCCTTCATGTGCAATAACATGTAAAAAATAATAATAATAAAGTTTTCATAAGAGGTTGGTTAAAATCTGTAAAGTTCATTGTAATCACACAATATACTGGACTAGCCAGACAGTAATAACGATGCAAAACAGTCGCAAAGATACTAAAAATATTTCCCAAAAATATAACTAGAGCCGTAAATATCAACAATGTGTGATTTTCACCTTTTATCCGCGCCGCGCACAAAACTGCCATCCTTATTTTTCATTCAGTGAGGGAAAGCGCACAGTTGCCATTAAAAGGCCCGACGTTTGCCCCCAGAGAGCTCTTTCATCGGACCATGAGTGTACGTGTAATATGAGTGACACGGAGCTCCGAAAATATGCCTGCGTTTTTAGTAAGTTGAGGTATTTTTTATCACAGACAAGCAAGGCGTTAATTTAATTGAAGGTGATATACTCTAGCAAAATAAGCATCTAAGCAAGATACACTGTCGGCCTACCTTGAATGTTCAGAATCCCATAGACTGATTCTGAAACGCGATTCAACGGCTTTTTTATCTGTAGACGGTGGTTCGTGAACCGGATGGAATCTTAATTCTTACCACCAATTTAATGTCCTGATTTCCAGATAAAGTCCAATACATTTTAGAAAATTCTATAGAAATACTTTATTTAGCCAAACAATCTTTGCCGGGTCTTAAAATATATTTTATGCATATATGCTATTTTAGAACCGTGTCCTCTACTTAATCTAATACAACAAATGAGTTATTGTTCTTAAAAATGTGTAAAGGAAGTATCACCAAATATTGTCTATACCCGAAGGAAATTCGAATATTATTGTATCCTTTAATATTAATCCTTGTAACAAAATTTGCATACGCCCACTTAATCCGTGGTTTCAGGCAGAAATATTATCCTGTTATCGAATTGTTTTGATACTTATCGTTAAATATAGTTATATCAAAGTGATAATGAAGAAATATTGTACCTATTTTAAACATATATTTCTTGATCACAACTAATAAAAAAAATTTTAAGAGTGATCAAACAACTTACTAAGTCATAATTAAATTTGAATATTTCTTGTGACAGCAAAATTTTATTTCTTTTCAACGCGTGAGATTTCGTTATGAAAAGATTTATTTAATATTAAGTGAAATCTCGCTATCTCGGTGGGGCATGGAGACAATACATTCCTGTATTCATTTAACTGTACGGTTTTATTTACAGACAAGTAGGTGACCAGACGTTTGCCCAACTGAAACAATCAAATATTTCCCCGAGATTCGAACCCAGGATTTCTCGCACTTAACGCAATACTAGCAACGTTTAACCATTTAGCTACATAGGCGGTTATTATAATATTACCCAATCAATACTTTCGTAGTTAATGTTCTCATGACGTCACTGCTCAAAGCCAGATCTCGCGCGACACTTATCTAGACACTATGTACGATGTTTGTACACTCGGTGCTCGCAGCTTCATTCACCACGGATCGCTCACAGATAGCACAGCTTAGCTACGAGATTAAATCCCGGGCAAACAAAGAAAAAACATTCCTCAGATGCCGTTTCTTAAACAAAAGAACGCGAAATTGCTTTGGAAATTAAACTCTTAATTACGTCGGCTGAAATATTTTATTACGTCCATCGCGGTCTTTTTGTCTCTTTAAATATAGATTCAAGGTATAATATTAATTGCCTGTAATCTTTTAAGCATTTTATGACGAGTTCGTTGGTGTTATAGTAACAGTTTATGACTAATAATCATCCCATCACGGTTCGATTACATTTTTGTAATCAATTCAATTAATTTTTCTAATGAATGAAATGGGTGGCAGGCATATAGAATGTCCATCAGAGTCACGAACCATCTACAGAAAAAAGTCGTGGAATCGCGCTTCGATATTCAATCTGTGGATTTTGTAGCTATATATAGCTAATAAACAATCAACGGGTCGTTGGATTGATCGATTTTAAAATGATTTTGATCAGTCTATAATTTTTAGTCTGTGGATTTCCAAATAGCTAAAGCAAATAGTTCTCGCTATGCTATTGTAGCATCTTGTGTATATATTATATGACGAGGGTATATCACCTTCCATCAAGTGAAAGCCATTCTTGCCAGACCTCTTTTGTAATAAAAAAAAATATCTAGTCATATGTTATATAGTATTAGAATCCGGGTTTAAATAATTTGCTGTCTTGCTAAATAGTTTACTGTGCTAAGAAATATAAAACCTTGTGAAATTCCGCAAAATGAATCATTGTCATATTATCTCCAAACAATGACAAAAGAGGAAATAAAATTGTATTTCTATTATAAAGACATTTAAATTAAGCCCCCGCGACCACTGCATGTGAAGCAAAACATCCGTATGTGGGGCCATGGTTAGAATAAATTGTATATAACAGAATTAACTAGCTGCGTCAGCGACTTCATCGGCAAAGAAATGTTATTTTGGGCGGTTATCATTTAAAGTTTTAATCATTCTTTAATACATATTTTTTGGGTACGTATTGGAAACTAACAATGATGAATAATGTTCCCGGTTTCCCATATTTCCCACCGATCTTCCCTCTTATTAGTTACAGATGTTTTATAACCTTCCTCGATAAATGCCCTAACCAACACAAAGAATTTTTCAATTTGTTCCTGAGATTAGCGCGTTAAAAAAATACAATTCTTCAGCTATAGTGTAGACATATTGGATTTTAAACCGTTTTTTATTCACTTGCACTTCAAAATTGCATCTATGTCAAACACTTGCTAATTGAAATTAGTGTAAAGAGAAAAAGAGCTATGACGGCGTCGCTTCTCAAAGAACGTGAAATCCAACAAATATATATTAAATGCATCGTTGAGCACACTAATTATATTATACCAGACAATCCAGTAAGCGTAGAAATCATCTAATTAGTCATTACGTCTGTTACATTTCTGAAAATCCTTTGTATTGCGGAATTTTATGCGTTCTTTGTTCCTATATCATATCAGCACAGCTGTTATAATAATCGACTTTATCACGTTGTGTTTGAGTTGATTTTCGCGATTGAATTGTGGATAGCGACAATCGGGGTAGTGCAGCGAAGACCGTTCGCTAACGAGCCCCCCTCCTCATTTTCATTTTATCACCGCCCTTCCTCTATTTACAGTTTTTCCGCTCCTAAGTATTTATTTAAAAACGATATAATCAGGAAATGGCTGGGTAACAACCCCTCGAGATGTTTTTCTTACCGTCCACTTATTTCTTTGCTATCACTTATTAATCACCTTTATAGCCACGGATTACGAATAAACCACTAAATACTATTATATTAAGAACGCTTACTTATAATAAAAGGCATGTATTTTCTCTAATAGACTAAAAAATCACTATTTCAAACAACCATAAATTAAGTACTGTGTAAGTGTACCTTTCTCGTAATTGGTTGTAATTATTATTAACAAGTTACATAAGTGTCTGTAGATTATGTGAGTAGTGCGCATTTAAATAAAATACTTTTAACGGTTTTTAACGCGCAAATGTATCGCCGATTGTAAGTAATATAAGGACGTTTCTTCGCAACAGTTGTAGTCCCGAGAGAACGAAATAAATTGTATATAAGTTTAACTAATACATTTCGCGTTAAAACCGTTAAAAAATATTTATTTAAGTAGTTACATAATTAAGTATTTTATACCTTTACAAAATGTTTGGATATTGAAAATTTTATACGTGAAAATGAAAAGCGTTGTTCATTTGTAAAGCAAACACACGTAACTGGTTATAACCGGTTTAAACAATCAACACACGCTACCAATAAAATTAAGAGCTTATATTAATCAAACGAATGACGGAATTATTCAGTTAATCCCATTTGCTAGCAATTAGCTAATGTACGTTACCTAACGCTAATCTGAAATCGTTAATCTAACAATCCATAGATTTAGTTAAAAAAAATACTATTTTTATGACTTATTGTAAATGCGGGTAGTACACATTTAAATAAAATACTTTTCACGTCGGGTTAAAATAAATTGTAAATAAGTTAGCTAAATTGTTTTATTTCAATATTTTTTACTACAGTCATAAAGATTGAAATAACTTATTATTTCTCGAGGTATTTATTATTGAAGAATGATTATTTATGTATTGTGAGTAGGTAGGTATAATTTTTCTCAAAATTATCACTCGAAACATTTACCATAATATGTACTTGATTAATACATGAACATAACATAAGTGTTAGCCACGTTCGAAAATATGTCACTATCTCTGATTGATAATAAGATAAATCAAGACAAACGAATAATGTAATAAGTTCAATATATTCTAATTGTGCAGACCAAACAACGCTAAATTATATCGTGTTTTTATACTAGTTTCACGTGTGTCTTCTGTCTAAACCACGTTATTGAACTGCAATGCGATGACAGTGTACGAAGTGAACAACATGACACTAGATGGCAGTAGTGTCATGTCTATAGGTAGCGAACCATATGCGCGCGTGCACAGAGTTCTAGTCGCGACAAGGCGTAGTAGATCTTTAGTGGCTCTGTGCGATGGTTGGTCTGAAAACAAGAGATATTTCTATGTGTGAGCAAATACGGCAAACCCGCTTAAGACGATTTCTTCCTGCCACAAACGCGTCTTAGGCGGGGTAGGCAATTAAAACGAAAGACAATTCTAATGTTGGCATAATAATATGTTATATTAAAAACGCTGTGTTACAAAATTATAATATAACGCAATTATAATACGTATTAGGAAGGTAGCAATGTTGGGGTATCAGTGGGTCGTCGCTTCGATCCGTCCGTGTCACGAATAACCGTCGACAGATTGAAAAGCCTTGATGTTTAATCTCATTTCAGTCTGTGGATTTCCGAATATTCTAAGCCAAAATAGATCGACATCACATCTGCTGTAGACGCTTTATGAGGTATTTTGCATAACATCAAGTTAACAGCGTGCTTGTCTATCTTCCAATGACTGCTTCATAAATAAATGATTACTTCAGATCATCTTTAAAGAGGACTTACCTATAGGACAATATATCAATAGTTTGACAAGATCTCGCCGTAGCCAGTCAGCAGATGACCGAAGTTCGAACGCACTACGTGACAACATGAATAGAGCAAGGATATAAAGAAAAAACTTCAGAGAGTAGAATAATATTGTTGGTGTTGTTCCGCACGCACCCTAGAAGTTCACAAATCAAATCATGGTCATGAAGGTTTGAATAAAAATATTAAAAAGAAAATGTATACTTGCCGAAACAGTGATGTATGCAGCATTATATAGAAATACTATGAAATATATCATCGCTGTTAGTAGAATGATAGTAATCTAAAAAAGAATATTAATTCAGAAACACTTTTCTCACCGTAATTAAACATGTAGCCACTCCGTTTAGGAAGCATTATCTTTTGTTTTGTATTAATGCCCTTAGTCGCATATACTCGCATGTACTTATATATTTTCTCACGGTTTCTGTATATATACTTCACCTTTTATAAACAGACCAATTACTCATTTCACCCTTTGCCAATAAGACAGGAAAATTGGTGACCCCAGAAATAATGACAAAAACACTTCCTTAATGAGATGTTATTTAGTGGAAATGTCTTGCGCAGAAAAATAAATTCGAAGCAATAAAATCTTATTAATACTTTAAATATTTATTATTTTTTCACTAAATATCAACTAACATATATTAGAATGTTTTCTCTGATGTTTTAATTAAAATTTTAACTTTTAACACTTTTTTGAACGGGCAGGGTACAAAAATGGTACACATACTTGTAACTTGGCTTTAAAATGAAGTATTTAAAATATAAGCTTATACTAAAAAACTATCCATCTAAATAAAACACTTAACTGTTTAAAACGGGAATGTATTAATTAAACTTACTAACAAATTATTTTAACAAGCATTGCGTCGCATTTTAAAACGTTAAGAGTGTTAATTAAATGTGTATTACTCGCGTAAATTGCAAAAAGTATATGATATTGAAACAATCTGACTTACCTGAACCCCAAAAATGTGATTGAACAAATTAGAACCCTCCTTTACATTAGTGTAAATCTTCGTCCATTGCTCGAACTTCTCCATTTGCATTCTCATACTATGTTCTTCAATTCTACCCTCGTCTTTTTCATACACTTCCACATCCTCTTGAATACGACGCGAGAGACATCTAACGTGTTCAGTTAGTACTACTAAGACGGCATAAAATACGACATATTCTATGTAATATCTAGCATTAAGTAATATAACATTTGTGAAGAATACAGCATATTGGCCTTTAATAAATCTTTCGAAGGTGACTTCTGAATCCAATCTTCGAAAAACGAAAAGACTCACGCCTATCAATCCATAGCAAAACGCCAGTACTTTCAACATTGTGTAATGTTTTTCTAAGGCCTTCAAGTATATTTTGTCTTGAGAAAAATAATTGTGGTTAATGTTGATGTAGTCTAAGAGTCGTTTGAATGGTCTCGCGTACCATCTAGCAGACACCATCGTCATTAACGAATTAATGATCGACAAGGAGAAGGTGACGGTCGAGGACAGTTTGGTCAACTGGCTCAAGTAGAGCAGTAAGTACACAGAGATAAGCATGAACGCTATCTCCAAAAGCGATCTTATGTTTGTTATGATGCGGTGTTTTCTCGTAAAGAAATAGTAGTTACGAAATACGCAGAACAAATTCTCTAAGCGTAGAACTAGTGTTAACATTTTTATACCCATTTTAGACGATTCGTCCTCACTGTTTGAAATACCTACTTCGAGTGATGATAATGAATATTTATTTAAGACACTTGTCACTTGTATACTGTATTAATCATACAGTGTTAGTTTTCTAATCCATTATAATTAAGCAAATGGAAAAACAATTCTTGATTACACCCACAATACCTTTCTCTTTTTTACTTCAAGAGTTAAACTTTATTTAATAACTTTACTTATTCCACTATACTAATATTATAGAGATGAAGAGTTTGTTTGTTTGTTTTAACGCGCGAGAAATCTCGGGAACTACAGGTTAGAATTGAAGAATTATTTAAGGCTAAAAGACTTTACATTGCAACCTATAGAAGCGCAGAAAGAGTGGGAGATGTGTATATAATCCCTCCAGGAAAACATACAATGAAAACTTCGATTACGAATATTTAATATTCAGCCCTTCAATTAAAAATCTATTTCGTTTTAGATTGAATAAATGGATGGCATGAGCGGGACATGAACCGATATCTACCGCGATGTGTGCTCTAATCAAATGACACCGTAGTTCAATTAGTTGGAGCACGTCCCGATCGTGTTATCGATTTTTTTTAATCTAAATAGATTTTTAATGTATATACTGTTTTTAAATAGTAATAACATGTGAAAAACAATCAAAATTTTCACATATTTATAAAAGACCGAACTTAGCTTATGTTGTACATGTTTATAAATACATAATTAAATTTATAGAGTAATCTAATATTACTTATTACCGATTGTAAGGTCAATAACAAATTAGGAAATATGGACATTGATTAATGGAGAACGAAGAATGTTAACATTGGAAACGCAATTCCATTAATAAGTTTTAAGGCAACCCGCTTTCCAGACATCGGCTTAAGTGCGCATATATGTTGAATAAAGTCTGTCCTTATATATATGCGATTGTTGACAAGCATCATTATAAAAACCACAACGGGCTGAGACATTATTAATTTATTTTAGCAGCGGTTGAAGTGCTCATCGGATTTTTGCGTATGGTCCAAGTTTACTGTAGATTAGCGGCAGTATATTATTTATTGAAGAAAATACTTACAATTGCTTTGTCGTCTTATTATCTTTCTCATGACCAATTGTCAATCACTGAGAAGATTATATAATAGCTATTCACAAAATGCTGTAATACTTTCAATAAATACTGGATTTTTACTAATTACATAAATGAATTAATTAACATACAGATAAACAGCGAAATTTTAAAATAAAGAGTGCACCGGCTGGCCTATATGCGATCTCCTCCGGTAATCCAGTAGTCCATTATGTAAATGGTTAACTATTTAATAAACTAAACAAAATAAACCGAAAATATTATTAAATAAAATTTCAGAAAGGAACCAAGAATTGGGAAAAGATAGTTCTATTCAGAATGAAGAATATGATAAGTTCAAAAAATGCTTTCATAGGCATTGAAAAGGTGGTCAAAAAAGGGGACTAAATAAGAAACGCTGATTGAAGGCTTGTTGTAAATGTTTGTATGTAAAAATATAAAACCAAATATAACACGAGTAAAACAACACAATACTTATATTTCACATCGTATTTACTCCGATTGAATTTGACAATTGAAATGATTTAATGAATCGCTTGCTCTCATCACTTGAACCACACAAGCACTGACTGTGCTTGCTGTTTGCGAAGCACTGCACTGTTAGCAGACATGCGGTAATGGATATTGAAACTACTGTACGTCACTGTTCATTTTTTGTCATATCTGCTTAATTAATGCACACAGGCTTAGACATCGCTTATTAAAATGCCTGTATGAAATTATTCTTTAAAATATGTGATAAAATACCGCCTTTGTTTAATATAGACGACAGACATATCATACATAGACATAATATATCATTTTAGATGCGATGTTGACCTATTTTGGCTTTGGATATTCGGAAATCCACAGATTAAAACGGAAACCCGATTCAACTTCACGACTTTTTATCTGTGAACGGTGGTTCGTGATCCGGGCGCAATTCAGATATTCCTACCATCCATTTAATATCCAGATTTCCAGACATGTTTCAGAAAAGTTATAAAATAAGAAAAATTAGATACATGTTGGACCTGGTGGGCATCGAAGCCATGACCCGTTGATTATTAGGCATTCATTGCTACCATTAGACCAACAAGTCCGTCAAAATATCTTTTTACATTCGTATGGGGAGATACATTATTTTTATGATTAGCTTTTACATATTCAAACGTATGGTACCTTCTACATATATGTAAGAAGAAGAAGTAGATCTACGTAGTTATAGCAAATAGTAAACCTTAAGAGTTATATGAAATAACAGAAATTTGACCCTTGACACTACTAAATTGTTTACATTATTTTTGATTTAAACCACATCTTACATATTTGTAGTGTTTTATACTAACACAGCATGAGTATGTATCGAAGATTTTTTTTGTACTAATTCCGCTATGTTTGATGTATTTTAGATCTATAAAATTTATGTCGCTTATGCCCTTGTTAAAACTTCTTTAGATTAATACAATTAAATCTTCATTATATCTTAAATGCCAAATAATTTACACAACACAACATTTCCTTGTCCTCTGTCTTAGCAAAAGCAAATGTTATTACTAAGTATATTATATTATCTGTGTATGCTGGACGGACTATAGCATTTATACTATTTTATAGATTTAATCAAATATTTGATCCGAGGCACCTATGCTACTCAGAAACGTGACGTGTCGCCTAACCCAATAACTAAGGCTGCGTCTACATTACCCATTTAAAAAATAATAGAAAGATAAGTTGTCTCTACTGAATATAATTTATTACAGCTTTTACTTTGTTTAAAGAATGCCATATTCTTCTTGTAATAGTAAAATTATCGTTAAAATTTGTTGGGGAAATAAAAAATACAGTAAAAATATTAAAGCAAACAAAATGAAATACATATATAATTAAAAAAAAGAACATACTTAAAATATAAATTATTGCTAGTTTCTAAGTCTAGAGTAGAAAACTTATCCCTTCGGTCACCACTAGTTACGTTCCGAATATCCAAAACAAGTCGACAACACATCTTCTTTAGATGTTATTAGGACTTGTCTATGTGAAGCGGACCTAAGAACCGTTAACCACACTCTGTGGTCACAGTACGTGCTATTCAGAACTCATGACTGCTATATCATTTGTATTATAGTGATCAATAGAACTCCATTCCTCGTGGTCATTGTGAAGTCAATTACATTACCTAATATAATTAGATGCACGTAACATAACGTTAGCTAGCAGTACTATTTTATTAGCTCGTGCGAGTCTCTGATAAGAAGTGTGAGTGAAATTTCGATGTTTATACGCTTTACTAAAGTTAGTTCGGGAGTTTTATATGTTTAAATGAAACACTTTAACGGTTTGAAACGCGATATATACTAGTTAAACTTATTTGTGAATTATTTTAACTACGAACCGACTTGTTGATGATGCTTTCCGCAGCCGTGGTCACGGGGAGACTGGGAGTTAAAATAATTTTCAAATTAAAAAATTAACAAAACTTATTTACAAAGTTATATGAATTATTAATATACAAAACATAATAAACAAACTATATTATGAAACGAATTTTATACTTTTAAAATATTGTGTGCATATTTAATGTGAAAAATTGTCCAAAAAATGTAAACCGCCTTGTTAGGGATTGACTTATCGTTTTGGTTACAAAAAAAAATCAAATTCTCAGACCTACTGAATTTTCAATTCAGCCCTTTCGGAGGAGTGTGGTAGCTAACACTGTGACACGAGAATTTTATATTATACATGACAGTTATCCGATTTGCTAAAGAACACAATCCTAATTACTGAACCAAACGTTAAAATAGTTACGCTATACAAAGACCTCGATTAGACTTGCAGTATTAATGGACGTAGTAACTAGAGGTTCCATTGATAAAAGCAATCCGCGTTGGACCGTGGCTGGAACAAAGTGGGCCATTACAGAACATCCCCTAATGGACGGAAAGTGGCTGATTACAACCGCAGAAAGTTCAGCTTTTACCATAATAATGGTGCGGGGCCGGTTAGAGTTAATAGAGGTAGTCTATTCGATGTCTGTGCTAGATTAAATTGCTATGTGCTTATTCTGAATTGGTTATTGGACTTTATATAATGTTATACCTTATCCTGTACTTGGGGATTACGGTAGATGTAATGTCTTCGATTTAAGTAGTTGAAATTGTCTCGGACCGAAAACTTTATCATGTTTTGCCGGGATGTAAACCTGGGACGTTTGCAATTTGATATACATACAATAGTGGTAATACAGCAACACGTTAGGGAGCTTTTATAATCCTGTTTTAATAGTTTTTTCAACAAGAAAATATAAAACTTTAAAAGTGAATTATTTTTAAATGAAAATATTTTTGGTCAAAAATTTAAAGTAAAAATAACACATTTTAACTTTCAACTAAGTTAATTATATTGAAATATTTTGACGAAAAATATGTTATAGTTTTAACAAAAGAACATTGTTTTTTTTTTAATTTTCCACTGTAAAATGTTTAAACTTCAGAATTGATTGTGATACCAAAGTCTTTTTAAATAAATCGACTATTCCATCTGAGTGCTTAAAAATTTGGGGGGAAAAAATTATTTAAAAAGTTTAGATTTTTTTTGTAACAATATATAATATCAGTTCAGTGATGTTCTTCAATATTATAATGAAGCGTATAAAATTCAAGCTATCACAAAAACATGATGAAAGTCATGCAAATTTTATCATGTCCTCCAAGTTTACGAAAAGCCCGAAACATAATCGCGACTACAGCAATTTTCCGACCGAGAGATTCACGCTCGGCGTTCCTTAGGCCTAAAAAGAAAATAGGTCTTTATTCGTTCCGCTGATCTCTCAATTGGAAAATCGCTAATGAGACTGAATGCCTGAACACGTCACAGTATTCTTTGTGAAAACATCCCTTGCAGACCCGTATTATTTTATTTGAACTAATTCGTTCGC